GACTCTCTGATGCACAGCTCGCAATGAGGGTTTTAATGCTCGCTCATACTCGAGTCTACAATTTCCACAACCGAGGGATTGTTCAAATTGACATTCTGTTCCACTTTTGGAGTTGTGACAATGGTTTTACTGGTGGTTTCCTTTGTTGATTCAGAAGATCCATAAAAAGGTAGGACAATCTGGAATGGAAATCAAGAGAAGGGTTAATACATGAACGTTCTGTTTATTTCTAAATTAATCTGTACTCTTAATGGTTTAAAATATAGTAAACAAAGATCTGAATATCATATTCTATATGTATCTGGTAAAAAACAACAATAATAACAAATGGATGCAGTTCCTCACCAGCTTGGCACCGTTGGTCACAGCTGAAGATGTCGTAACAGCAGCATATGAGACTGACGATGCGGCAGATGTAAAGAGGCCAATCAGACCAAGGAATAAGTATACCAGAAGATTCCACAGTCCCGTTAACAGGTAGACAACAAGAGAAAAGAAGCTGAAGAGGAGCCACTGGGCATAAGAAGCAGCGGAGGTAAGGGCTTCTCCGAGGGTCACAATAAGCCACAGCCAGCTATTCCACAACCAATTTCCAGAGGTTTGGGTTATTTCAGAAGCACTTGCATACAACTGAGAGAAACTTTCCTTGGAGACGATGCTCGAGACCCAGCCAACTACGCTCCATGATTGGACATCTTCAGTGATGGTTTGGGCTTCATCCACATTGTTATTGGTATCATTCACAGGAAGGAAGAGGGCAGAGAGATAAGAGACACCAGAAGTAAAGAAACTTAGGATGGCTAGGCCTATATACTGCAGGAACCCTAACACAATATACAGCCAGTCTAATGCATAAGCAAGGCAGGCATACGTCACAGACCCAAGCCATGTGAACATGCCTGAAACTGATACCCAAGCAGCAGATACACCAGCAACAAATGCAGATCCAATCCATTCACACATGTCTACGAGGGACAGCCAAGCAAGGCCAAGACCCCAAGAGATGCCAGATAATGATAATGATGACGGGTCATATCAGAGACAGAAGTCACAAGAAGTGTCAGGAATGAGGTTCCATCAGTTTCTTTGGGATCAGTAGCATCACCTGTCTTGGCACGGGACTGCAACAGCCACCAGTAAGCTGTTAGTAGAGAAAATTATCATTAGCTGGTCATTCTTCTGATAACATGAATCGAAATTAACTTTAACAACTTTCCTTTCTTTCTTTTAGTCCCAATAATTCCATTTTTACTTCAACTTTTTATATAATATCAAAACAAATACAGAAGTATAAACTAAAATATGATATACCAACAAATTAATCTGGTTATGGGTGACAGTATATATATTTTTTTATATAGCATCTGTAGCTTGGAATCCTTTTTAAGCATCAGGCAACTAATTTAACTGCTTTCTTGGCTCATGTTATCAGGTGAATGGTTTACAAGCATAAAAGAGGGGATTTCTTAATCTTGGTAACCATATTTTACTTGAGAGAAGAAATCTTAACTTAGCAGAAAGCCCTCTCTACGTAAATATTAGTAATATATCTCATACATACTGCTATCATGCAGTCTGATTAACATGGCACATGCAGTTACAAAACTTTACAGGTAATACTTCAACTATGATAGCAAACTACCACATGCTAATCACACATCATACTTTAAGTGCACTACACGCAGCACTTATTTTACAAATGCCAACTAGCACTTATGTGTAAACCAATACTCATTTTGAGACTGGGCATTGGTGATTCCCATAATACTATCTCAGAGGAATGAAAAGAGACAAGAAAAAAATAAAAGAGCTTCCAAGTTTCTTTTTTTTATCAGAGGAAAGGAAATACTCAAGTTATTAGAGAATTATTAATAGTATTATTAGTAGACTGAGTACTGTTGGTTGGAGAGCTTGGTATGTTGCAACCTGAAAACAACAAATCAGCACAAATAACCTTGACGAAAGAGGAATATCGAAAAAATTAAGCATGGTGTTTATATATGCTTGAATATCACAGAAGCCATAATACGGGATATGGGTCTCGGGGTTTACTTTTTTATAAAATACGATTGGTTGTATGGGCAACATGGAAAATAACTTGAAATGGAAACTAAATAGACTTTACAAAGTAACTTCTTTCAATCTTTCTCTCTCTCTATCATCCAAAATTGTATTTCATCCCCTCCCCCAAAAATCAAAAATAATATTTACAGTAAACAAACAAGTCTTTTTCATTTTCATCACTGACACAAAGAAAAAAAAAATCTAGACACAAAAAATTTCCACAGTTTCAAGAGCTTACTCTCAAGATATCAGCTCTCAAAATAGAACACAGTAAGCCACACAAAGCTTAGAATATAAACTTGAAGCTCAGATATTCTCCTTGTTCTTATACAGCAGTGTGCTCTATCAGATTATTAATGAAGGTCAAAGTATTCCACAAATGTATGAAAACAAATGTTAGTCACTAAACTTTCCAACAAAATAAAACTAAATAAAACTAATATTCATTGCAATAAAATAATTTAAACCTGCAATTACATCTACTTCGTGCAAAACTAGTTCATATGTATCCAGCATGAACTAAGATCAAGTACAACCAAAAAGCTAAAAGAGATAGAACAGTCACTCAACCAAATAAATGTACAAACAATGACGAAAAATATCAAGAAACGATGGATGAGACAGCCTAACCCTATACATAAATTTACTATGAAAACCAATCTACTGAACACGTATGAAGCAGGCAGGACGAGCTCTTTATAAAACATAGAGAAATAACTGAATTTCTTAAATGATGTCATGTTGGATGATCCCTTTATCAAGATCATATGAATTATAGAATATGTTGGGTGCTTAAAATACACATACATATACTGTCTACTAAAGTTTTGTTTTGTGAATTTTGCTTGCACATAAATGTTTCAACAAGTGCTCAGCCACGAAGGAGCCAATTAGTAGGCAAATAGATTTCCCCTTTCCTTGAATTTCCCCCCCCCCTTCCCTCTAGTGCTATTAACCCCCTGGATCCGGACGACACTGCGGTCACATCAAGGAAAAACTTGGGCAGCTATACGGATGACGTGAACAAAGCGTCAAGAGCAAAGGCCAGGGTAATGAAAACGACTCGCCATGAGAGCGCAAACCTCTTGGAGTGTGATTTGACTCATTTGACACTTAGAAGGGGGCTTTAGCATTATTCCCATCGATAAACAAATGTGGAATGTAATGTGCGTAAGCAGTGACTAGAAGAGCACAGGCTCCATGGAGGACACCATTTCCATGCTGTGCACCGTATTCCTGGCCACTCTGACCAGTGGCGCAGGTAGTATTACGTAAAATTGAAAATTACAAAAAAATAAAGGAAATATATGACACAAATAACCAAATATTCCTTCTTTTTTTTCTTGCACTTAACTATTTACTACATAGAGACATGCTATGGAGTCTGTGCAAGGAAAACAATTACCATCTGGATAAAGCAAAACAAAAGAAAATATGGACATTGGAAAATGGTGATAAATCTAAAAAAAGATTTCACAGAATAACTTTTCAAAGGGGAGGCACAGAGTCTTGTCCCCGCTCATGGGTGTTCGTGCACACCCGGCCTAGGCGCCGCACGCCCGGGATGCTAGCCACTTACGTAACCATTGCAACCGGGTCCAGGGGGTTCATATTTCTGACATTATGATTATTATAATGTGGTGACAGGGCCTAATTTATTTGTGATATAATCTTATACAACAGTCTAGACTTTTGGCCCAAGTTGTGCATAGCCAGACCACCCACTGAAAGTCATGACGCGTACACACATCATAGGCTGACATATCACAACATATCTAGCCGTACCCATTACTGAGGTGTTGGCAATACTATTAACAATAAAAAATAAAAAAGAAGTATAATTTACTCCTTGGTGACTATGCACTTGTGGAGGAATTTAAGGAAACTTTAAATACAACTAATAAACTAAAAGTACTGGGGTCATGACACACATTTTTGTAATCCTTGCATCAATGGGTTAAGCTAATCAATTCCGAACAGTTTTAAATGTATTAGTAATTATTTGTGTCTGATTATTGTTGGTTCTTAAAAGTTTACTTCACTGTTTTAAATTAGAAGCCAAATTGCTCATTCCACATATTATGCAACTGAAGCTGTTTTTCTGAACTACATATTTTTTATTTATTTATTTATCTTTATGGAAAAATAATAATTTATGAAAAAAATATGCTTACATAACAAAATAACCAAACACCTGTAGCATAGAACTGATACAATATCAAATCTTAAAAATTGTAGCTCAAATCATTAAACTAACCAAAATAAATAGGATGTACCTATTTGTTCATTTCTTCAAATACACATGAAAGAATTTCCTTATCTGAGAGTAACTATTTGTATCTGAGTGGAAACCATACATTGTGCTTCTGATTCACTCTATATTTTCTCATCAGAGTTCTCAAAATTATGTTCCCTTTAATAATAGTAATCATAATCAAATCCATACTTCTTAACCCTTATTAATATGCTTTACTCAAAAATAGGGTTTTAGAGAGCTTTCTTAAGTACATTGACAATATACATGTCTTCCACTCAATCATTTTTTTGATAAGGTGGCTTCACTTGCACATAAACTTAACACGAAATAAATACGCATGCAGCATTACACACTGAATGGAAAAACAAGCAGTGTCAACTCACCCACAAGAGCCAATAAAAGGAGGAGCAGCAGCAACGGAATCCAGATGAGAATGGGGTTCTTCCTTAGGCGTTCCTTTGTCGATTCCCAGTACTCAGTCGTCGAGGATATCATCCTCCTTCGTGTTGTGTTAATTCTGGATATGAATGATGACTGAGAGGCCTTCTCTGATTGGGAATCTTCATCGACTTTATTTGAGGTAGTGGCTGTAACTGCTCTTGTGGCCATGGCTATCACTGAGGTGGTCATTATCATTGTGATTCGCACCACAGTCTCCCAGGTCTTCTGACTCCATGCCACAATAGTATCTGGACATTGCAATGACCTTATTAGTAATTTTTACATTTTATGTGAATACACACACACATTAAACTGTCTACAGAAACAAATTGTTCATAACTATGTTAACCAAGTGTATCTTGTGAAATGAAAATTATTACAAGCTAAAAGACAAAATAGTGAATAAAAAATTCTCATAGTTACGAAAAAGGGAAAATAGTTACTTTTGGGTTTCTCATCTTCTTCCTCGATGTCTTCAGCAATGGCCCCCTTTGCCAAAGTGTAGCCTCCTCTGGTATTTTCAGCAGTGAGTGTTGATCTGCTTCTCAAACTAGTGAGTGGTGTTGAGGATCGGCCAAGGGGTGTTCCACCTCTTGCCGTCAATGGTGTTGCACGAATTGGGACTGTAGACTCACTGCCATCATCAACATCACTGTCTGCATCAAGGCCACGGTGAAGGGTTCTTGTGGTTGTGTAAGCTGGGAATGAAAAATTACTTGATTTTAGGAGACGAGACAAAAGAAGAAGAAGTTCATGCAGTGCTACAACTGATATGACTGCAAATGTGATAACAGTATTGGAACTTTCTATGGCACTTCATAAATCAAAATATATTTGATTTTAACATGTTCCATGAAATCTATATCTGAGCTACTAAACTGGATATATTTTTACTGTAACAAGTAAGCCTTAACCTGACAACAGAACAACTAGGTTTTCTAGCAATTCGATGGTTAAAAATCTTTGTTCTTATAAAGTGCAAGAGTGAAGCAAATCGGATACAAATTACAAATTAGTTCATTATTTACCACAAGTCCATCATACAGTAAAATTGCTATACAAACAGCTTTTCTCACCCAATACATAATTAATTCTAAAAAATTAATAAGTTCATATAAATGTATAAAAAATGTCATGGTTATAAAAATGTACAAATGACAATTTAAGATATCTGACATCTGGTTTCAATATGGTATCACCTTTGACTTGCAAGGATCAGCTACAAACCTAGATGTACTGCAAGTCATTTAAGCTAACCATGGCAGTGTTACTCTAGAACTGTCATTTGAATGTGCTCATTCTAAGCCAAGTGGCATTTTTTATGGCGACTTAACTTTTCAAAAAAGTTAAATTTTGTAAATTTTATATACTCTGAGAAAAACATACATATTTCTCAGAGAGAGGAGTTTCTGAAATTTTATAGCATAAATGGTTTCCTGTGATTGGCAGTCATGCTAGGAATAATAAACTGCAAACAAAACCACTGTTTCAGAAGTCTGTAATCCTGACTGTATCAGAATGCTATCATATGCCTCTTGCACATGTTACAGGTTTCTAATATGCTTTACAAGTAAGGACACATCCTAGAATAGGAATTTAAATTGTATAATAAAGAATCTGGGTTGTACTAATATAAATTCAGTTATAAAGAAGGAAAAGGAAGGAAGGATGGAGAGGAGGAAGAGGAGGAGGAGAGGAGGAGGAGGAGGAGGAGGAGGAGGAGGAGGAGGAGGAGGAGGAGGAGAGAGGAGAGGAGGAGAGAGAGAGAGAGGAAGAGGAGAGGAAGAGGAGGAGAGGGAGAGGGAGAGAGGGAAGAGGAAGAGGAGAAGGAGGAGGTAGAGGAAAAGGGGGAGGAGAAGGAGAACAGGGAGGGGGAGGATGGGGGAGGAGGAGGAAGGAGGAGGAGGAGGAGGAGGAGGAGAAGGAGGAAGCAGATATATCATTCAAAGACAAATCACAGAAAGTGAACAAAATTCACACAGAGGGTTAACATGCACTTACTTGAAGACGTTATTGTTCTGCTCATTGCTGTGCCATTTGACTTTGGCATGACATCAATACTTCGACTCCGACTGGATCTTCTCCTGGGTATGATAAGCTGTTCCTGCGTATCTTCAGCATCGCTGGTATCTACACACACACACAATAAGAAGCCTAATAAATAAAGTTTTCTTTGATACTTCCTTTTTTCTACAAAATGTTTTTATAAAATGACAAATATATATAAAAAATAATGCCTATCAAAAAAAAAAAGCCAACAATCACTGAGGCAAAAATCACCTATACATAAGGTATATAAATGAATTAATACTATTAGCAAAGCAAAAGGAATTGACAATGAAAAAAATAATATCAACCATAAGGTTAAATAATAAGGAAGAACTTGATATAAAAAGTCAAAAACAGCAATACCTTTCAAAAAGAGAACTTATACCTTAAAACACAACTACAACCTCTGATAAACTTAAAAGCACTTTCCAACCGCACAATGTACCAATAACAAAGGCACGAAAATGGCACAAACACTTTACCTGAGAGAGCATCCATGGACCTAAGTACTGCTCGGTTCCTGAGATTAAGGCTACTGGTGGTGAGTTCATCGTCTAACCCAGCGGTTGAGAAATCTGGGGATTTGAGGTAGCCCACATTCCCACCCCTAAGAGACCGACGGGACATGTTTGGGGACCCGATCTTCCGGTCTGGGGTCACTCGATCACGGTAGGTGAGTGAGGTACTATAGGTGTAGTCTGACTTGGGTTGTTGT